TTAGCGTTCATCAGCAGCCCATTTAAATCCCTCTTTTGTCTGATAAACCCTTTAATCCAAATCAAGCTGCATCTGTAGCAAACTCTAAAAGGATATGAGTGCACTAAAACTTTAATAGCTATCCTCCTCAGAGGATTGAAGGGACTTAGGATGTACAAAGCAGGAGTGGCATTGAAACGGAAGATTGCCTTCCCACGATTCAATACTATGAAGGTCTGAAAGAGAGACAAAAGAAATCTGGTTAATATCTGTGTCATACAAAAACCTCATTCTTTTTCAAAAGACCTAAGAGACCGCTGTGCATGTGTGATTGGTTATAACAGTAATTTGGACCGTGTCAGGCTATGTCCAGCTGGATGAGTCCACCGCAGGCAGGACATGTCTGGCACCACAGTCCTACTGGCACAGCAGCTCAGATTAGCATTTAGCACCTCTGTTGGCCCAGGCTTTAAAAGACTCTGGCTTGACTAACCACATTAATGCTGCACTATGGTTTACAGTTCAGTCTGTCCATGTGCTAAATGTGCTACAGTTTGATAATATTGCGTGATTTAAAAACAAACCCTGTTCGTCTGAGCCACAGATTCAATGCAACCTGCCCTCAAAAGAAAACCTGAAAAACTTTGGCGGGATTTTAGACATGTGGGAGGAAACTCTGCCCAATCGTTCACTTACAATAGTTTGTTCAGAGCATCATGCAATTAACCTCAAGCTTTTATGAGCTGCAAAGCTTGAACTAAAAATGTAGACCTGTAATGTATCAAAATTCAGTGCATGAGTCATACCGTAATTGAAAGCTAAATTGGTGTCCTTAATGATACTTTGAGGCCTGCAAAGCTAAGAAATTGTGTTAGAGTTATCCACCGATGTCCATTTGGATGTTATTCTTTTACAGCGGAACGTGAAGCGATGACATTAATAACACACCTTCTGACTGCTATAGTAGGGGTCGATGTCCTCCAGAGGGGTGGACACCAGGCCGGGAGGGATGTCCCCATAAATGAAGGGGAGAGATTTCCCCGCCTCCACATCGCTGTTGGGCTTGGGCCCATTTTCATCGTCGCTGTCGCTGCGGCGCTCCACCCGTGGTCTCCGGGCCTCCTCCTCGGCGATGCGCCTTTCGATGGCGGCCAGCGACTCGGGGACGAAGGGGCGGAAGCTGTCAGGTCCGGGCGGTATAAGCAGCTGTGCCATCTTGTCATCCTGCTCCTTCAGAGGGAAGCGAAGTGCTCAGCTGGGATAGGTAGCTGCAGGGGGAAGGCAAGGAGAAATGAACCAAGACCTAAAAAAAGCACCAGTGGGAGGAGTGAAGTCATCTACCTGGGACATGTTATAATATAGTACGAACAGGTGGAACTGCTACCTGTGTAAATGATTTTAATGAAGTGTGAAGCTGGACCATGTGACATTTCTGCATTTATCACTGACAGTTTGTAACTAGAATGTGAGAAGGGCAAAGCATTATGAGCACAAAATGCTTTCCCCCCCAAATACTGTTGTGATTATGAGCAGAAGAGAAAACACTAATGACACACAGCATCTCAAAAAAAAATATTAGTTCCTCTATTTTTAATATTTACTAAACATGACCAGCTATACTTTGCTAAAAGAAGAAGGATCTAGAGTAGGTCATTTCTTTCTGTAGGGAGTAATTTAATTAGCAACAGACAACATCCTGATCCCTTCGATGAGTTCAGACCAAATACAAGTCAAATTACAGCATTTCCTCATGTACGTCACCTGGGCAGACTGCCAACTTATATTATTTAATACACACAGATGCAGAACTGGTGGCTGCTGGTTACTGGAACGCCATATCAAAGCAGCTTCTGTGGAGGCAGATGTTTATACCTTCATACTAGTAAATATAAAAACATAACTCGTTGTACGTGTGATATGGAAGACTTGGGTTAATCTGGGTTTTCATGCGGAAATATTTGTCTTATTTTGATTATAACAATAATAGCTATATAATATCATCTTTGAAGGGAGAAAAACATTTTTTTGATCTCTGCTGAATGTGTAAGTCTGGGATGAACAGTCACTATTTGTATGGCCGCTAGAATTCTGGCTCTTACAGTTTGCAATCTGTGTACCACAGCCAATGTCTCAGTTAACCAATCGCAGATACTCCTGATCTCAACTCACTGTTCCACAGAACCAGTTTCTTCCATTCCAACTGCTCCACCACCACGGATAAGACCAAAAAACAGGGACAAGATTGCAAACCTGCAAATGGCTGGAATTGGGACCATCAGCAAGAAGTTTGGTGACAAGGGGCGAGCTGTTGGAGTGATTATTTTTCAGAAATGGAAGACATATAAAATAACTACCAGTTACCCTTGATCTGGAGCTCCATGCATAAATCTCGCCTCGTGAGGTGATGATGATTATGAGAAAGGTGAAGGATCAGGCCAAAATAGGATGAGTTCATTAATAATCTAAAGGTCTTCTTGGTTAGACCGCAGCCACCTAGGAGACCGTTGGTCACACTAAGCCATAATGGACTGAAATCTTCCAGTGCCCACAAGGTCCCTCTGCTGAGGTACATGTGCAGGACTGTCTTGTTCACTGTTTGCCAGCAAACTTGTAAATGATTCAAAGAAGCTCGGGAGAAAGTGCAGAAAAGAGATGAAACCAGAGCTGAGCTTATTGCAATCAACTTAACCCACTGTCTTGGAGGAAAAGAAATGCTGAGTCTGACCCAACGACAGCAAACACACAGGTCAAAACATTATCTTTTGGGGCTGTTTGACATCACCTCACGTGTTCGGTGGCCTCAACAACGCAAAAGGAAAAGGGTGAGAAGGCTTCTGAGGACATATGTCACTAGTGAATAACTGTCAGCGACCCTGTTTTTTCATGTCTCTTTTGTGCATCTAGTCTTGGTTAATAAAGTAGGTCTAAGGTAAAAGCTGTGCCATGTGCTGAACAGTTCTCATGCTACCAAGCTAACTGATAAACTGCCATCACAGGGTTTACAGCCCTGATATCAGAGGGCAGTGAGCCCATTTTCACATATGACTACATTACAGTTGTAGCAAAACCAGTTTTGGCCAGAGATTTTAACAATTCAACTATGTTTGCTAGGTTATTAGAAGACATTTCTGTAAATGTTTGCACTAGTGAAAAGATAGCTGTAGAGGGGCCGGTGGCATATAAAGTAAATGGAAAGCTGGTGCAAATTCAGGCATCAGTTGAAAAGTCTGCAGAGAAATAAAAGGCAGACCTTTTCCCTAAAACATCCACTTGTATTATATATTTCACATCTCTATCATTTTATCATGCTGTTAGAATGATAGCCAATTTAGACATTCCCTATAGTTTTTCAGAGATTTCTTCTTCTTTTTATTATTATTATTGATGTTGTTTTATTAATTCCATAGAAGATCCTGCAGAAAGGAATCATGTTGATGTGATTCATTCAGTTCAGACTTAGCTGTGTTTAAAGCGTTAGGAAAATGTGGCAGGTCTGACCCAAAAGATAGTCTGCCATTGTTCCGCCAAAAACCCCCACTCTTATTCAGACATGTTCAATTACCATCACAATTAGGCACATATGACCATCATATTTTGACCATGCAATCACTATTATGCTTCTTATATGGTGACATGAAACCAGTTTGCAAAGATTTGGAAGCATTTGAAAGGCTGGGAGAGAAAACGTACGAAAAGAGCACATTTCACATGCAAATGGTCCTGAGTGACTAATACCAAATTGAGTGCCTCATTGTATAACACAATAGTGTGGCATATAACCAGTGAATGACAAACAGGAATCATCTCACAATCATCACATGGAAAATAATAAGTATGATCTGGTTATAAACCATCAATACACTTTGAGACAGAGGCAAAAAAACAACAACTGTCTCTGACTACAAGGTAAACTATTTGAGCAAAGCAGGTCCCAGTCTTCACTGAGGCAGTCAAAAGTGGCACTGAAGTCAGTGACATGCCTTCAGCTGATTCACTGGGACACAAAAGTAGCCAGCAGCAACAGAGGTGGACAGCAAAAGGAACAAAAAAAAAGGAAAAAAAGAGTGTCAGTGAAGAGAATATTGGTCTACTTTTTTTAATGCTGCATTCTGCCATGTGGAGAAAGCAGCATCTGCAGAACGAGAGGAGCCACTGTCCTTTTACTGCTAATTAATTGGCGGACAGCCTCAAATTAGAAAAAAAAAGCCTGTTTTTCCAGTGACTTTCAGCAGAAACAAATGAAGCAGGCATTAATTACAGGCTTTTTATTACTTCCTCCCTCAATCAGCCACACTACCCGATTCCTCCTGCCAACCATCTAGTGTACCACCCTTCACACCCAGAGGCCCACCCTGTGGCTTCCCCCATGGAAGGGAAGAAACACAAACAAGATTTTCTCCCCTGCCAAAAAAAAACCTTGATGAGCCATTATCAGCTGGTTCACGGTGCCGCCCAGTCGCTGCAGTCTCACAGGTGGGTCCTGTTCCCTGTGGGATCTTATACTGCCATGGAAAACAGGAACCTCCCCTCTGGCAACCTCAAAAGTGAGGTCTCCTTGAATCATCAGCTTTTCTTCCTTTTCGAAATGGAAATGGAAGACCTGAAACTGCCACACTTGGCTGCCATCTAATTTTCCTTCCATTTTAAAAGGAGGTAAAAGTATAAAAATGTTTTATTTTTTATTTTTTTATTTTTATACTTAGGTCTTAAAAGCAGGGGACAGTCTGGAATGCAGAGTCATCCACAAAGAGTACAGGGACTAAGCCAATGATGTCGGCAAATATGAGTTTACCAGATTTAGACTTTATACTCATGCCTATCAAACCAGATCTAACCTAAATCACAACCAATATGTAAATACAAACTATGCCCGATAACAGACCAATACAGGGTTATTTGCTTTCTGATGCTGGTCTAT